TGGGGAACGGCCCATTGGGGAACGGGCCACCAATTGGAGCCATTTGAGGAGCCATGGGCTTATGAGGACATGGCGGTTGCGGAGGGGGACAAACTGGTTTAAAATCTGCAGGCCTTTGGTTGAATTGTGGTGGTCTAGGTTGCGGCGAAGGCTGAATACGAGCAGGCTTAGGAAACTGTTGTTGAGGAGGAGCCATTGGTCCAGGGGCATATACTGATCTAGGAGCAGGATTCGGAGCTATTATAGGTCCAGGTGCTGGGGGAAATAGAGGGGGAGCTTCCCTAGGGAACGGTTGCGGTAGGGCAATCATTGGCTTGGGCTTGGTCGGCCTCGGAACAGATGCTGATCGGTGTTGATGTACCGATTTGTGATGGTGACGAGGTGTATGGTGTGAACGAGCAGGATGAGTCCGTTGATGAGCGGGTGGTGGCTTTGGTGCTTGATGTGGGCACACACAAGGAGGAGCCATACCAGGGGGTTGTATTCTGGGTGGCGGCCCTCCAGGAGCACCAGGATATTGGAAATAGTCGTCCTTGGGCAACATGAACGCTGGCACTGAAAACATTGAGGACTGAACTGCATATTGCGATATTCCAAACACTTCTCGGACCACAAACTCACCTCCTTTCACCCCTTGATCGCCACACGCAACTGTCCTGCTTTCACTAGTGCTGCTATCACTGCTAGTCGTCTCACGTGCACAGTTACATTGACTACACGTCTAAGAATGAGCTATGTCATTTCTCTACTGTTTGAAAACTCCAAGTTACAGTAACATGTTACCGTATTCTTTGTCGATTCACTCTCTTCTGCCTCGTCTGAAAATGAAACATGGAAACTGTTACTGGCAAAACCCTCAAATGCACGGTCTAGATGATGTACCACTTTGGCAAGTCGGAAGGACGCTATGTGTTCGTAACGGAGACGATGGTACGCCCACTGGTAGATGCCACGCCCTGCGTTCACTTCTGTCATTTCAGTGGCAGAAGCGGTCGTTCCGCTAGCTTATCCCATTCCTAATGGTAAGTGTGAGGTGATAAGGGAGCTGAGCCAAGGAGCGTATTCCATACCTTCTACTGAAGATCCCCTCTCCTACGCCCGCACTACTTGCTACTCTTACTTCTTACTTTATACTCTCCCGGCTCGTGAAGGGGCGGTGGATGGGAGGAAGCAATGGTCGCTTCTATCGATAGAGGAGGTTTCTCCTCCAATACCAGAAGGGATAAGGTGTGAATGAGTGTCTAACTATCAGAAATGGTCGTTAGTGAGGGTCAGATACCAATGACAAGTTAGTTAGTAGCTAGTTAGTTACTAGCTGGTCAAGAAGAAGTAGGAAATGCCTTTCGGAATGCCCTGGATTGGACCCCCTAGCGATTCGATTCGGTACGAGCATAAGGGATGAGAGGGCGTCTTGAATGAGCTCCCAGTTGTAGCTATCACAAGGTATCAGTTCCTTGCCCTTATCAGCCTCACTCTCTCGCCCTCATGAAGGCACGAGCTAGGCAGCTAAAGCAACGCATTATCACGGAGGAAACCCTTAGAAATCGACCTTTGAGATTGATGTGAGGCAGTGGGAGACGATCGACTCTGTCGCGGATCTTCGGTAATTTTCTGATGTTCCAAACCACAAAAACTGGCAACTGTCGGACTCGACCTACCGTTGTTCAGGATTCAGCGTCTGCATTCAACATAATGAACACTGGGACATGGAATATGGAACGGTGACGCAGGCGACCCAATGCTAAGCGACGTAACCAATATTCTTTGTTTGAGGGCGATGCTCTACGTACCCTTCATGGCATTCTCCAGAAGGAAGTGCCGTACTACCCTTGCTGCCGTTTTCATCCGTACCCGTCCAAAAACACCCCCTCTACGACCTCTGCACGCCCTAGGGTTATCGACAGCAAGCGTACAATTCTCTCGGCATTCGGCAAGTTCAGAGGGAATCCAAGTCGTCTCTCGGCATTTAGCAGGGCTTCAAGGATCCAAGATCCAATCCAGTCGTATCAGCGAGGGTCCAACCTAGGGCGTTTCAGACAGTCCTTTCTTTCATTTTTCTTCGCTACCCCCTGCCCACAACTTTTGCTTGCGAAACTTGCCTTCGAGTGGAGGCACATCTTCCATTCTCCTCAGGTGACTGTTCCTCCCACGCCCGTTTGCTCCAGTTATGGTTGCTGACGTGTGCCCCCATTGTCCGCCCCATCCTTCCTCAAACCTGCGCTCGTAGGAAGGTAGATCACCCACCTGCTTGTGGAAAAGTCCACTACGCTTTAAGACTTCCTAAGGGTGGGGTGATGCTCAAAACCCTCCGCGTTCCATGTTCCAGAACGAGACTTTCCTTACCTTCTCCTGCGCTTGCTTCTGGAACACAGGCTAACCAGGTGCAGCAGAATGCCAGGCATTATCCAGAGCCAAATGAAAGGTGGTACCATCGAATCTGAAACAGCATCTTCTACCAGGCTCGGCTAGCTATGAAACACAAGGGTCCAAACCTACCTATGATCCGTCCTGAGAGAGAATCGACCGGTTAGTAGTGTAGCGATGAGTGATGTGGACTACACTCCACCGGTGCTATACATTTTAGACAAATCAATAATTGCTAAACATCTTTATCATAGCCCTCAGCAACCGGATCGATGGGGCGGGCGAGTGTACTGTAGATTTTAGCCGGCGTTCATTTCCAAAAAGTTAGGCAGCGTTCAGACTTCGCGACGGCAGCGCTTCGGTCGCGCGTTCGATGCGATCGATGCAGTCGAAAGCATGCGCATCGATCGTCGAATCGCGCGACCGAAGCGCTGCCGTCGCGAAGTCTGAACGCTGTCTTATTGCTCGCGTTGTATGCACACGACATTTGAAGCAAGTTGGCGCCGCTTCAAAATCCATGTCACGTCGACACACCCCGTCAATTCGGTTCGTCGCCTCGGTTGTTGAGAATCGTGAATTTAGGTGAGTTTATGCATGAATCCTTGCATGGTTGCGCCCGTTTATCCCGAATGTAATGGCTCGTAGAGAAGTGGAAGAGGATTGCTTATACAGTGGGGCAAAAAAACTTTGGCCGAGTCACATATCAGTAAAGTTTACGCAGCCCAGATAGAAGACGTGGATACGAGTACCAGGGCGGAAGATACCCAAGATGTTCCTCGATAAGCAGGAGCTGGCTCTCGCCCATCACCTTCATGTACACCAAAATATGAAGTCATCTCCAGTCGCAGCCTGACTGGAGAAGGCCTTGGAATTCACGTCACCTCCAAACAGCTGCGAAACTTCTGTATGGAGTCACCCATGGACAGCTACCTGGAGACCAGCACTCTTGATCTGACCTCCAACATCGAGCAGCTCCGACAACGTCGCTACGGTCCAAGATATCATCGTCACCGCAGTCAATGCATGGATTGATGGTATGAACCAGAATGGGGGACTGATATTTTCTTCGTGGACCCGGGCTGAAAGTGAACGCTGACGGTTACATCGAAAAGCTCGAGGAGAATATCCTGCCTTCATGTCGTCGCCTGTACCATCTTGGAAACTTCGTACTGCTACAGGATTGGGTGCCAGCACATGGAATCGAAGGGCGTTGGAAAACTCTCGCCTACTTGGAATCGAAGGGCCTGAAGAAAACGGAATATCAAGTAAGTCATCTGTCCTGAACCTCCTCGATTACCGGGTATGGAAGGAGCTCAACAGGGTGGTCTACAGAGAAATCAACGACCTCGCTGAACTCAGGCACCGAATCACGGTCGCGTGGCAGAATCTCTCGATGGCAATCGTCCAGAAGGCTGTGGCGGAGTTTCGTGATAGTGTGCAATGTGTTGTTGAATTTGATGGTGAAAATGTCCAATCAGAATTTAATAAAGTGTAACTTGTATCGCCATTAAAGTAGAGGAAGAAAAGTGTGCTCCGTTTTGGCCCTATCATGTCTGTTGTTCAGGACAGTGCTTTCCTTCATAATCACCTTGATTCCGACTCATCCGATTTCGAAACCCTTTGTCAACGCGGTTGCATTCGGATTGTCAACGGTAATGCAGCAGCTCCAATATGGAACGTTGGTGGGACAATTTTGAACATGTGCCTTGGTGACAGATAAGTGATAACAAAAGATAAGAGGTGGTTAGGAATTCTCAGGAAATAACAACGGTTAGAAATCGCTAGATTGGCCGCACACTTCCACGATAGTAGAGCTTTCACACCTAATGATATTGATCAAAGGCGTCACGCTTTTGGCTGGTGCACTCTTTCGTACGGACCGAGCCTATGAAGTTGATGGACTGGCAATATAACAGGACGACGGTGACTATTCTTTCTCCCGACAGAACCGATTTTAGAGGTGTCTGCCCTGCCTGCTTAACCTTTCGGCCACCTTCCCTTGCATCTTTGGAATGTTCCTCACGTATGCTCCGGATACCACTTTTAGCTTTAGTGGAGCTCTTCGACACCCATAACCCCTTTACCTGAGTCCAAGTAGTCACCTAATGGGCCACTGATCTGTGATCGCCTTTGATTTCTGCCTCCCACTCTTTACTGTACCACATGCATCGCCACCAGCGACCGGCGCTCTGTTATCCCAGTGAGTTGACATTTCCCTTCATTGTGCCAACGAGAATAAGTTATAAGATGGAACTATGATCGTATGATGTCTTGAAGTTCCGAATACTAGTTCGTTCTTCGAAAGCCCAGTCAACCAGAGTCGATAAGCTGGAACGAGCCGACTTTGTGTATATTTGCTGTGGTTAGTAATAAGAGTTAAAGGTTAAAACAGTTCCACCTAACAATCTATTGCGCACAGATGAAAAAGTGAAGTTATTCACTAATTATAGGTGGTCTCACTGAGCCTTCATTGCCTCATAGCTTGCACCTGTGCTTGTGTACGGGAGTGAGAAGCTCTTCTTTCTTTCAAACTTTATTGAATACAGTAATTCAGTGACCTAAAGAAGGGCTTAGACCCGAAACGTAGTCAATAAATTTTGGAAGAACAGAAGAGCTTCTCACTCTCATATATAAGAAGAAGTATATCAACGCGCAAAGCAATGCTGGGTTTTCATGAAGAGAAAATATGGATTCCCTGCCAACGCAGTTATTTAGGTGCTTCGACTCCCTCTTTACTCTCTCTAGTCTGCATCTCCGAAGTCGACTAGCTCTTCTGTGCTTGTGTCTGTCAAGTCAACTAGCTAGGAAATACTGCATCACTGGCGCGAAGTAATGCTCTGCACCCACGGGACGTTGGTAAGTGCAACCGAAACTGATGAAAGAAGCCGAACCAAGCAAAAGTATGGTGGTCAACTGATTATTCGTAACCTGGAAGAAGTCAGTTCACCAAAGGCGGAGTTCACGACAAGCCGGTGAAAAACTCATTGGTACCGGGGTTGGAAATAGGAATGTACGTGCCATTTGACTCGCTCGTAAATAAAAAAAAGCAAATTCAAGATTCGAAAACGCTTTTCAGGCTTCCCCTGTGATAAGTGAGAGACAAAGACTCGATGTGGTCCCAGGGCGAGAGGCCAGACAATAGCGGCGAGGAAGCACGCGAACAAGTAATACCACCGATAAGATACTACCAGGCGAAGTCACTGATTTAGCGGAGTCACATGTACAACCTTGCGCTTTATAGCCGCAACCTTACAAATTTCGGACGCTAATTTTGTACGAGTTTATTCGCAGCGGCTAAACACTATCTTCCTCCTCAGAGAGCATTAATAGTTGTAGGTGATCGTAGGCGTGCCTAGGCAGCTCCCGCGTTCATCTGATGTTCCTACGCCTCCTCAGATATCGTAGCTTTGTCGACAAGGGTGGAGGATGTACTAATTTCGCAGCTCAAAAATACGAGAGGATGGCGCCACCCGCTTGTGAAGAGGATGCCGCCCCCACCTGGCTGCCATAACTGCTTTGGCTTAGCCTTTAAAGGCTGAGCCCGCTTTCAAGAATAATGAGTTATGGAGCTCATATAATACGTGATCCAGTAGTGAAAAAAAGCAGAAAAAATCATGGAAAATGCCCTATATAGAACCCTATGCTGGCCAGGTGGGCGGGGCGGCCGACTCTTCACTAGCGAGGCGCTATCCTCTCGCCTTTTTGAGATGCAAAACTAGTACATACTGCATCCTCATAGGGAGGCTATGATATCCAGAGAGGGCGCGGGAACATCAAATGAACGTGGGCGCTGCCTTTAAGCTCCTTACTTTGAACTTGTAGTTCAGGCCCGATAACGGCAAAAAGGACTTATTCCAGAAAGTGGCGACTAACTGGAGGAGTGGGTGACTGCGGCGATGATTACCTACGCTTGAAAGGGAAGATGGGGACCAACGTGGGCTAGAACATCCCCATAAGTGAGGAAATCGTTAGAATGGAGCTCGTTGAGAATCCTCGCGATGGCTGCTTCTGCCATTATCGAATTTCTTCCACGATGTCACAGTGAAACTCCATGCCAGGCGGCTGAAGTGTTCCGAGTCCAGTTTCCCCACCTCAGCGTGTCCGACGTGCAACCAGTTTGGCGAGTGACGGTAGAGTGGGCTGAAATAGCGACGTCGATAACTCGTTCCAGTCGCTTCAGCATTGTATGAGACATGTCCACGTCAACGTATTATGAGAAGGTCTCCGTGTCTGCTACGTTTTCCTTTGCTGCACAAACGGCAAACTTTTCTCCCTTTTATTCTGCTCCTGCTTGCTTTGAATTGTCATTTATTTGACCGAAACTGCTCTCGAACAAAAAATAAAAATTACCGGGACTGCTTTTTTTCCAGCGCCTTCAGGCTGAAATAAAGCTGACGACGTTGATCCGTCCTTATTAGGGGTGCACGTGGCATTTCGAAAGCCTTCGAGTCATGGTCATCCTAATTCATGTTGCCTATTTT